GGAGTTGTCTCATTAAAATTAGGAAAATGATGGAGTCGGCAATTGTTTTTTCTTCTGTTCACTAGATGCTGTAAGTCTTAGCTAGAGCAATAAGGCAAGAGAGATTCAAAAAGGAAAAGAAGCCAGTGTTGTCTTCAAAGATGACGCTGTGTATCAGGGACCCCAAAGCCTCCACCAGAAAACTCCCAGAATGATTGCTGCATTCTACAAAGTGGCAGAATGCAAAATTAGCAAGTAAAAATCAGTAACCTTCTTATACAGCAATAACGAACACACTGAGACCTCACTAGGCTCCAATGGACAGTCCCAGTCCATAGCCACACAGATGACCCTCCTTAAACTTAGATGGGTTAAATATCAAAATATGAAGCCGCAGGTCTGGGAAGGACAGGTGGATCCATGCTCCCTCCTGGGTCTCACTTTCAGATATCTGATTCAGAGGTAAGTGGGCAGTAGGCTCAGATTCTACTGTCTTTAAACCGTCCTACCAAAAACGCTCTCAGCGCCCAAGGTGTCATGTTTGGCATCAACGTGTTCAGCACTGATGCATCTTCAGAAACATTCTGGAACTCTAGGAAAGGGTCCCAGTCTGTGTGCGAGGAAGCTCCCATCTCAGATGTCTGTGGGTGGAGGAGGTCTCCACCTTCCTGGATGACTCCAGGTGTGCAGAACACGGCAAGTCTGAGATGGGGGTGGAGTAATTTGGTTTCCTGTGGCTCTCAGTTTTCTATGGCTTTGTGTGATCAGTCTGACATCTCAATAGACTCACACATCCTTCCTGAGAGCCAGATGTCTCCTCCATCAACTCAAACCCTTCCAAAGCCCAGGTGTTTGTGATCCTTTGCCAAAAAGAATGAAGGCAACCGGGCAGGGTCCCCACTGCCCAGGGCTTTTGTTGCCTTTGAGCAAACCGGCATAGAGATGGAGTCAGGTGTGGACTTGGGGGTCAATCTAACTGGTTTGTGAACAGCCAGATGGCCATGCTGCTCTGGCCCTTGATGTCAGGAGTGAAGGTCATGAGACACAAGTGTCCAAGGCTGGGCTTTGGGTTCTGCTTTCTCTTTCCCTATCTATCTGGTTGGTCACTGTTTTTGCTTTGGCGAGTTGTCAGTGGGCCTTACTTCAACGATGCTGGTCCATACCCACCTGTGTCTGACACTGACAATCATCCCAGCATCAGCACCCACCACCAACTTTCTATAGCAGCACCCAGCATCAGCACCCATCACCAACTCTCTATATTTGTCAGCAGCTGCCTCAGTGATGTGCAAACATTTTCCCCAACCACTGGGAAAACCACGAAGCTGGCCAGTAGGACATGCCGTTCTTCACGGAAAGGGCCACACTGGGTTAGGGAAGGGGAGGACCCAGTGCCAGGCTTTTGCTGCCCATCCCATTGTCCATGTCCACAGCCTGACTCCTGGCTCAAGTCAGGTCCATGGCTTTGCCCAGAGCACCGTGGGTTGTTGCTATGGAACATACCAGAAAACTCAGCCAGCTGGTGTGGGATAACATTATCTCGTCTGAGTTTGTTTTGGTGTGTGACTTCAAGCTCTGGCTTGAAGGGAGCTTAGCCCTTCTTGCTCACTGGCTGGGCTCAGGCACCTGGATGACCCGGTCCATTGGGGAGGGGGAGGGGAGACACTGGGCAGTTCGTGGTGGTCTCAATGGGTTAGACCAGAGGCTCCCAGACTGCAAGGCATTGTGGGCCAAACGATTGTGTAAAGGCTAACCGGCGGCTCGTGTGCACAGCCCTGACCACGTCTCAGCCCTCACGCAGCTCCTCTGTTCCCAAGCTGCGTCTTAACTTCTTTCATGGCTCTGTGACAGGCAGGCATTAGGGTGGCAGGAAAGAGAGGAAGAGCGAGCTGATAGAAAGGAACCAGCCTTCCTCAGTTTACCCATCTCCTTAGCCCTCCTGCTTCCTGCCGTAAGCCATGGGCAACTCCGATGGCCTCACCAAGTCCAGTCATCTCATCTGTAGAAATAGAAAGCCATCTTTGAAATTCATTTTGTTCAAAAAAAAAATTTTCCAAGCATCGTCCGTCTTCAAACCGTTGCTGCCACCTGGTGGGAATTGTCAGAAGCAGAGGGGATTTTTTTTTTTTTTTTTTTTTTTTTTAGTTCACAGGTTCCCTTTTCATGGTGGGAGGGGCAGAAGGAAAGGTTCAGAGGTTTCCAGGGATGGAAGGAAGGAGGGTGAATGCACGGGGCCCCGGTGTTCTTGGAGCATTGAAGCAATTCTGCTGTTCATCGTGACACTATAATCCGTGGTGCCGTTTTAAACCTGTCCGGACAGAGATCCACTGAGGATGCCGGTGGTAACGATGCATTTGTCAGCAAGAACAGGTACCATGCTGGGGGTTTCCGATGGGAGTGGTGCCGGCCAAGCGCATTGGGGTGGAGTAGATGGACACTCACACTCGCTCAATTTTCCTGTGAGCTTAAAGCTTCTCTAAAAACAGTATATTCCTTTTTAAGATGGGGGGAGTGCCTATAGAGTGTGTGGGGTATATTAGTGAGTGAGTGTGTGTGTGTGTGTGTGTGTGTGTGTGTAGACACAAACACCAGAGGTCCATGTCACGTATCTTCCTCTAGAACTCTCAAATACACTTTTTTGAGACCAGATCTCTTACTGAGCCAGGAACTCACAGTTGGTGGCAGGGCAAGCTCATAAAATCCGTCTCCTTCCCTGTCCCCCTAGCCAGGGTTATAGGTGGCCACTGCCTACACTGGGCTTTTGCATGGGCGCTGAGGTTTGGACTGTATGCCAGCGTGGCAGGCTGAGCCAAGCTCCCCAGCCCCCATTGCTTTTCAAAGCTTCTCATTTGTCGTAAGCTCCACGCGGTGTCCCTAGCATGTATTGAAGTTTGGTAAAACACTTCTTATTACTTTAGGACCGTCCTGTGCACACACAGTTTAGAGTGGCCTGTGCTTTAACAAATCCTTATCCAGAGGTGAGAGTGATGGCTCAGGGTTTAAAAGCACCTAAGGCTCCTACAAAGGACCCAGGTCTGGCTCCCAGAACCCGTATCGGACAGCATCCCACCACCGGTAGCTCTAGGGCCAGGGGTTCCCATGCTCTTTGGCCTCCACAGGTACCCACACACGTGTGGCACACGTAAACTCAGCTAGCTGCGCACATACACAGAAATAAATCTTCAAAGAAGGAGATTTGAATCCTAGTATTCAACACGTACATTTTAAGAGTATGGATACATATTTCCAATTTTTCACATTCTAGTGGTTAAGAAAAATCAAACAACACGGATTGTATGAACAGACAAGCGAAGCCTTCCTCCTCAGGGGGCAGTTTCTTAAGAATTTATGGTTTTCTCCAGAAACTGTTCTATTCTGGGAGAGGAACACAGACTGCACCAGGGTTCTTTGTAAAGGACATTTAGTTAGAAAACACACTTGCACGCACGCACGCATACACGGCGGCGGGGGTGGGGACTTTTGCAAATGTTTTTGTATTGTAAGGTTTTGGACATGTTTGGGTCCAAACCAGCTGGCCAAGATGCCCAGAAACACCTGTGGTCAAAGAAACAGAAGTTGCTGAAGCAGGAAGGGACCCCCCCAGGGAACCAGAGCCAACCATGGATGGATTGGGGGAGTGTGTTCAGGGTTGAGGCTTGTCCAGGGAGACAGGTTGGTGGTCAGGGTCAGGGAGGAGAGGAGAAGCTAGTCTAGAAATGCCCTTTCCAAAGAAGGCAGTTACAGGTGTGGTCAGAAGAGGGAGCTGTTTGACCACTCTGTACAGGGATTGGGAGGGGGGGGTCGTCTCTATCTTATTTTGAACATGGCCCCTGAGTGGCTTTGCACGGACAGTGCTTTTTTCCATTGGTGTTGTTTGTTAGGACACGGTGGCCAAGCAGCTGGTGGCATCTGCTGCTGTTTTCTCAGACGCTTGAATCTTGAATGTGTGTAAGATGGTGATGTTGCATTCCAAATATTCTGTTCCACATGTTTCTGGGTTAACACATAAGTATCCCACTTCCCTGATGCCACGGAGTGTGAAATAATCTACGTGATCACAGCAACTCTAGTAACAGCAGATGTTACGGACGGTGCAGGACCAGACCAGCTAATCCAGTGCTCACACTCTGCCATGTCGTGATGGTCGATATTGATTGACAACTCGACAGAATCTCGACTCCCCAGGGAGACAGACCTCTGGGTACAACCGTGAGGGATTCTCTAGAGTGGGTTGACTGAGGTGGGAAAATCCACCCTATTCCATGGCAGGGACCCAGAGCAACACAAAAAAAGGGAGACAGTGAGCTGGACACCGGCGTTCTATCCACTCCCGAGCCGCAGTGTGATGTGACCGGCTCCCATGCCCTCCCTGCCACCATGGGCGGTGTTGTCAAGATAAACCCTTCCTTCCTCAAGTTGCATTTGCCAGGGTTTTTTGTTTTGTTTTGTTTTTTTGTTTTTGTTTTTGTTGTTGTTAAAGTAACTCACACATGCGCCTCTCAGGAATCTGCCAAGGACTAAGGAGTCCAGTCACCTCACCGATAGTCAAAAGGCTGGTTTAGGTACATAAGGAAGCAGAATCCCATTACATAGATGGGGTTGACGCTCGGTGCTCCAGGAACCGCACACGGTGGTGAGCAGGGCTCCCCGCACACACGTGTGAGCTGATTCACATGTGTCCTCAATTAAATGAAAGCCTGTGAGTGCTTCTTCAACGTCCTAGCCAAGACGCTATAATTAAATGGCCTCTAGGCCAGCAGGACCCCAAAGGGTACCCAACTCCGGAGCTAAGAGGTGAGGAACACCCATCTGAAGAGGGTCCAATAAGGTTTGAGCAGCTGCCTTGCCACGTGAGGACAGGTCCTGGGGGATCTACTGGAGAAGATTTTTATACAGAGAAACGAAACCGAACTTGAGGACACAGTGCCTGGGAGATCGGACTGCACCGAGGGCGGAGGGATTGCTCTCCTTGGATTTTGCGAGGGGAATGGCTGTAACTGTGGGCTGCTGTTCTCTTCCAGACTGTGCTGGCTGTGGAAGGGACATTAAGAACGGGCAGGCACTGCTGGCGCTGGACAAGCAGTGGCATTTGGGCTGCTTCAAGTGCAAATCCTGCGGGAAGGTCCTCACCGGAGAGTACATCAGCAAGTAAGCCTGGGCGGAGGGCGTGGGGCCCAGCTCTGAGTTCAGGGGTCACCTTCCCCCCAGCATGCAGAAGCACATCCCCAATTTTACATCAGTAGGAACTTTTGCTGTAAAATGTGTCATTATTCTGGTTTTGCCGTGCTATGGCTGCTGTAAGCTTAATGGACTATTAATTGTGGCCCAATTTAATAATTAACAAAACTAGCATGATGGTATACCCCGCCTTGAATCAGTTAAGCTCCTAGCCATTTCTCCTTTGCAATTTTTGTTTCCTATGTGAAGATAATAAAGTGTCCTTCTGCAGGGCATTCCCCCAACAGCGTGTGATCTAGGCACTGAGCCTGGCGAGACCATAGCACAGACTAGCCTGTCAGGGTGAGGCCCCCATTGGAACCAGAGAGTAGCAAATCTGTGGAGTTTTGGATGGGTTTTTCAGTTGTTTGGCTTTTGTTGTTGTTTATTTTGTTTTGGTTTTGGTTTTTTTTAGTGGTGTTTTTAATGTGCTCTGCCACTCTATGTTTTTATGGCTTCTGAAAATTTCCCCAAGCATGGCATAAGCATATAGCTGGGTGGGAGAACTTAGGCCCCAGAGAGTCCGAAGCCTGGGCTGAGTCTCCTTAGGACAAGGATGGAGTTCAGTGGGTAGAGTACTTGCCTACCTGGATTTGATCTAGCACTGAGTGAAGCTGGGCGTGGCGGTAGGAACTGTAACCACAGCGCTCTGATGACCTTGGCTTCTTAGAGAGTCGGAGGCCAGCCTGGCCGCATCTGACCCTGTCTCAAAGGTCAAAAAACCCCAAGAAACATGAAGCCTATCCAATTATATGAAATCACTCATTCAAATGTAGTTAATGAATTTAATTTTATAAATCCATGAAACAACTGAAAAGGTATCTTGGCTCCTGTGGCCCAAAAATGTAGGTTCTGGGGTCAAACTGAACACTTGGGTAAGAGACTAAAGGCCTCCACTACAGATGCTTGTGCCTGACCGTCAAAAGCAGAGACGTGCCTGGCTTTTACCGTAGGTTAGACGTACAGTGGCCCTCTCAGACTGCTGAGCTGACCGTGTTCCAAGGCCTCAGAGCCAAGAAGAGCCCAGCCGAGGAGATGGTGTCCGAAGGCTGTGGGGAGGCCCTGCTGGATGTTGTGGGAAGGGAAGTAAAGAGTCATGGGCTTTAGGCACCGATGAACTCTGGGCCTCCTCTGAGGATTATCAGGGTTGCCAAAAGAGGAACAATACTGGGGTTTCTTCTGCTCCTCGGTTCTATGACAGCCAAGAAAGTGGCCATGGTAACTGTGTGGTGACTGATTGGGTTTTCATCCCTCCGTCTGGCCTGGAGGACTGCCACCCTGGCCTGCGGCTTTGTCTGGTCATGTGTCTGGGCCTGCGTGAAGACGAGTTATACTCTTCTCCTGTGGGAAGGACCTCAGAGATGGGGCCCCTGGTGTCCTCCCATGGCCTGAACGCAGCTTCGTTTTTTTCAGGGATGGCTCCCCGTACTGTGAAAAGGACTACCAGGGGCTCTTCGGGGTGAAGTGTGAAGCCTGTCACCAGTTTATCACCGGGAAAGTCCTGGAGGTGAGTGACAGAGGGAGGACTCCCCTCAGACTGCTGCCGTTCCCCTCACAGACCTCCAAGCCTCTTGTCCCCTCCCAAGGAGGAAGGCAGGTGGCCACAGGTGACCGGCTTAGAGCAAACATGTGCCCTGCTGCCCTCACTACCTAACGCTGAGGGGGACTTGGAATGGCGGAGAATTCAAAGGGAAAGATGACAGACTTCACTGAGAGTTAGACATGGTTTCCTTAGAGGATGGGGGGCGCCAGACCCTCTGTTGATGCCCGTGTTTGGACATGCGTGTCTGCCTGTGGTAGCCCCCAGGAAGCTCAGGCCTGAGGGAGGAAGGGGGAGGTGCAAGGGGCTGACTTCCCTGCCCTTAGAAAGCCACATCCGCCCGCTGTGACTCAGAGAGCCCCGTGACCGCGTTGAAGGAAGCCTGTCAGATTCAGGTGTGACCGCTTCCAGCCAGAGCTCTGTTCCTGCTTCCCTAGCAGCTACCCTGCCAGCAGCCTGCCTCTGGGTCTCGATAACTCCTAGAGGCCGCAGCAAGGAATTCTGGGATCAAAGGCCAGAGAAAACCCTGTTTCTCACAGGCCTATGAGGTTATCAGTCTAGCTGGAGGGGAAAGTAACAGTCCACACACACACATACTCACACACACACACACACACACTCACGCACCTGTGACGAGGGTGGAGACTGTATGCAGAGCAGGCAGAACCAGGAAGCCAGCAGCTGTAACCTGCTGACCTACCAGCCCATCCTGTGGTTACCTCAGATGCTGATGCTGTATAGCCGGTAGGGTATAATTTTTAGGGAAATGGGGCGTTTATCCTATGAGTCCTTACAGTGTTTCTGGGCCATTCTGGGGGATATCACAGCCAAGGTTAAGAATTGCCTCTCCAAGTTCCTCTAGAAGCTTCTCCCCGTGAAACATGGACTCTGTGCACATACTAACCCAGAGGAGATCAGGAAGTGACTGTGGTCAAGAGAAGTTGCCCGGTAGTCTCTGAGGAAGAAAGAGGATCACATACGGGGACTGGTTGGCAAGGACACAGGACACACAAGAATGTGAGCCCGACGTGGACACAGGACTGGAGAAGGCAGGGTGGGGGCGGGGTAGGGCAGGGCGGGGCAGGGCGGGGCAGGGGGTCCCTCCAGGGAGGCACTAAGAAGTCTGAGCTTCATCAGGATATTGGGAAGGCATGTAAGTGCTATGGCTACAGAGTCATAGGATGGGGTCAGGGCACCGTGGGAAGAGTAAATGGGCGTGTTCAAACAATGTGTGTACACACATTCCCACCACACTGTTGACAGCGGGGGGGGGTGTGAGCAACTCGGTGATGCCCCAGTAGAGGCCTGCATGGACAAAGTGGCTATTCTGTGGCCTTTAGGGAAGCAGTGATACCTGCCGCCATACCACAAGCAAACCCTCAGGGGAAGAAGGCGGGTGACAGGCAGGGAGTGTTTGACCAGACCACCCAGACATGAGCCCATCACAGAAGGCCACAACTGTGTAATACCTAGCACTCAGCAACAGACAGCAACTGAGGTTTGCCAGGGGCTCGGGAGATTGGGTAGTGGTTGCTACCAGGATACAGTTTCTTTCCATCGAGCAAGTGCTTTGGAACTAGGTAGAAGAGGTCGCTATGTGGCATTGATAATTCCCCAGGTGCCTCTTGATGGTTGGTTTTAAAATGCTGAGTTTTAGGCTACCTGAATTTTGTCTTGAATCTAAAGTTTTTAAAATCCAGGAAGGGTTTGAGGGTGCTGTAAGGGAGAGAGGCAGGAAGATACCCAAGTTTAAGATCATGTGTTCACAGTAGCAGAATCAACTGTTTTTACAGTCCCCATGTGGAAATGTGTTCCCCAAAGGAGTTGGGAAGAAAAAGGCCTGTGTGATTGTGTGTGTGTGTGTGTTCACATTCACTTTGACAGCTGCAGGAAGGAATCTATAAAACACGGTTACATCTCACAACATGCCATTTTAAAGACATGCTGGTTCCCCCATGTTTTCTCTCTCTGGCTGGAGTCATAGGTGCTGCAAAGGCCTCATCCCAAATTGCCCTTAGGTGTCAGGGAAGGTCTGCAGAGTTCAGGGCTTGGGGATGTTCCTTGCAAAGCCTCTAGGACCAGTCAGTCAGGGTGTAGCTCGTACATTCAGCTTAGATTCGGGGTCCGCCCAGCAGGCTGCGTCCTCTGCAGATGGGTGTGTGTCCCAGAAGAATGTCCTGCAGGGGTTAGCACAAGACATGTGACTGCCAGTGACTCAGCTGGGCTTGATGACCAAGAGAAAGCAGGACCGGCCTCATTCCCTGGCACTGTTGATGAACCATTCTAAGGGTGGCTTTGTCTTGGATACTATAGACCTTACCTTTTCCTTTTAAATTCATTGTATCCATATATCAATGAGTTTATTTCCTGTGTGGGCTGCAACAGTAGCGGCTTAAGACAATTTATTCTCTCGGTTTTAGAGTCCAGATGTTTATAACAATGTATCACCTCAAATGCTGGAGGAATGGGCCTTCCTGATCTCCAGCCTCTAGGGCTCCTGGCACGCCTTGGCTTGTGTCACCATCTCTCAGGGTGTACCACGGGTACCCTGCCTTTTCAACGTCACTTCTCTCTGCCAGCTACCCTCCTGCCTTTTCTCCTAGATGGGTGTTTACCATTTCATGTAAGGCGTTGCTCGTCATTCAAGTAGACCTCCTCAAGACCTCAATTTCATCTCTAAAGACTGTTTCCAAATAAGTTAACATTCCCAGCCCTAAAGAACCCACCATGGAAGTGTCATTTGCTCATCCTGTTCTAGAAAACCAGGAGGGGCCCACGCATCACTGTGGAAAGGCCATAAACACTGGAGAGAAGCCCCCCCCCTGCATGTGGTTCCTTTAAAGGCACTGTCATGCAGCGAGGGGCCCCAAGACCTGTCCAGGTACAGCAGTGTCTCTGATTCTCCAGGGCTGTCTTCTCTCACAGACACAGAGTGACAACCTCCCCTTGCCTCTGTCTTTGCTTTTGGAGTCTTTTTTGTTTGTTTGTTTGTTTGTTTGTTTGTTTTTCGAGACAGGGTTTCTCGAGACAGGGTTTCTCTGTATTGTTGTTTTAGAGCCTGTCCTGGAACTTGATCTTGTAGACCAGGCTGGCCTCAAACTCACAGAGATCCTCCTGCCTCTGCCTCCCAAGTGCTGGGATTAAAGGCATGCGCCACCAATGCCCAGCACTTTTTGGGTCTTTTAGGAATTCTTTTGGGACAGGGTCTCACATCTCCTAGGCTAACCTCAGACTCCCTGTGTGTGGCTGAACATGACCTTCAACTATTGGTACTCCACTGAATGCTGGGATTGCAGGGGTGTGTCCGAAAGCCTGGGGGATGTGATGCTGGGGAATGCCAGACAAGCCCCGCCCCCCACCAGCTGAGCCACATCCCCGCCCCACCCCCCAGCTCAGCCACATCCCCGCCCCGCCCCCCACAGGCGTAACCGCACACCTGTCTTCAGCCTGAGGGGAGCGTGGTTTAATGAGACAGGTGACAGGGAACCTAGGAATCCACTCTGGGCTCTGGAATGCTCCCTCTGGGGGGACCTTGGACAAGCCTCTCACATCCTTGGCCGCTGCTCTCCTTTCATTAGCAGAGATCATTGGAAGCATGTACGCAAATCCAAGACTCCCAGAATCCCTGTGGTTGACTCCCAGAATCCCTGTGGTTGATTCCCAGAATCCCTGTGGTTGACTCCCAGAATCCCTGTGGTTGACTCCCAGAATCCCTGTGGTTGACTCCCAGAATCCCTGTGGTTGACTCCCAGAATCCCTGTGCTTCCCAGCATGTGAGTTCTGCAAGGGGTCAGAGTCTGTGGCTCATTTTGTCTGGAGATGCCATCTGGAGACTGGCCTGTCGTGTCCGTCCAGGCACACAGCTTATGTCATCATTCCTCTCTTTATTGTCATTTACTTCCTGTTACTTCTCAACAGTCGCACTGTCTTTGGGTGCAATCTTGTGAATGGTGCGCCTTTACAGTGTTTGCAAGGCCTGTGAGACGGTTCGGTGGGTAAAGCTTCCTGTTGCTGGGCCTGATGGCCAAGTTAGATCTACGATGCCCACATAGTGGAAGGGGTAGATTTCCTCGTGTATGCCCCTCCCACACAGAAAAAAAAAACCAAGTGAATGCAAATTGATGGTTTTCTTAAAGTATTTACTAACTGACCCATACATCCAAAGGACATTCTGAAGATGGTTGTGGCTGCCTCTTTATTAAGAAGTTTAGCAGTACATTAGAGTGAAATATTAGGGCCTGTCGATTACCTCCTACCTCCAGTCTCTTCTCTGAACTCCCCTTGGAATCAACTTTGCCTGTGTCCTCCGCCCATTTCCCCGCCCACCCCCACCACATCCCAGCCCCCACTCCGGAAGCTGCAGGGACCTTGTGGGACTTCCCTTTGCTACAAATCTCCCTGGTCTCTGGTGGATGCCTCCCGGAGACCCCTTTTCCAGACGCTGACCGTCGTCTTCATTGTGAAGAAGCATCTGCAAATTGCTTTGTGAGGACAGCAAGCGCACGTCTTAAGAGCAAAGGCAACGTGCTTGTGTCTCCCCCCTTCAGCGCTGGGCTCCCTCATGGCTCCTTCTCTCTATGCCACCCCTGCCACCCCAGGGGACTGCATCTCACTGCTCACTCTTTTGGTCCACTTAAAACAGACGGCCGGCCCATTCATTGTTCCCTCTGTTCATGTTCCTTCCCTAAAGAGACACCCGCAGGCTGTCGTCCCCAGGGACATTTCTTCAGTCCCTTGTAGAAGGAGCCAGGCAGAAGTTGTTGTCCTGATTCTCAGCACAGGGGTGGGAAACAGTCTCTGCTGTGCTTGCCTAGGTCACACACAGGCTTCCCTTTCCTGGTCCTCCCATCAGCCCACACCTGCTGGCTGGATCTGGTCTTTCCAGAATGTGTGGTGAGGCCTGTTTTCTTGGGGACTGGGTGCTGCTGTCTGTAATAGCTACTGCAGAACCTGGCCCTAGCGAGACT